GTTTGGGGACTTAAAGAGAAAAACATGAATAAAGCAATGAATTTCAACATGCTAAGAGTTTCTACAAACCGTAAATGTTCACTCATGTCAATTATTATTTTGGATTTCTTTTAATTATATTTTTCTTTAACATCAAATTAATTCCTAAAGTTAAAATGCTAGATACCAGTCACATTTCTTAAAAGTCTATAGGCCTGTTCACACAATAGCAAATATTGTGAAAATATATGCAATGCTGAAAATTTAGTGTGACCAATAAGATTTGCATTTGATAAACCACTACTTCCACAGAGATACCGAAGTCATCTCAAAGTCAAGCTCCCATGGGGCCATGGGAAAGGAGCTGTGAATGGCAGTGAAGTGATGCAATTGGGGCCATACATGACAAAGCCAACATGGTGGATGAAATACATCGGGATTACATTCATACTATATAGATCACATTTTTTAATGACTGTAAAGTTCATTCATCTTTAAATGTATGTAGTACCTATTCAGAATGTGATTTCAGATGCACCTTTAGACTTGGTGGCATTCACAAACATTATTTTGTAAAATGACAAAGCACAGGAAGAATCCAGAACCGGCTCTCCTGTCTCTGTACTCTTGTACAATCTGAAGTCCATCATCATTCTACAGTGAGGAAGATTATTCACAAGTGGAAGACATTCAAGACAGACACCAATCTTCCCAGGAGTGGACGTCCCAGGAAATTCACCCCATGGTCAGACCGTAGAATACTCTGAGTACTTGCAGACAACCCAATAACTACACCTCAGACTCTACAGGCCTCAGTTAACATGTAAAACAATAAAGTTTGTGACAGTATAATTAGAAAAAGACCAGGCAAGTTTGGCATGTTTGGAAGGGTTGCCAGAAGTAAGCTCTTCTCTCTAAAAAGAACATGGCAGGATAGTTCAGGTTTTCAAAGTTGCATCTGAACAAACCGTAAGACCTCTAGAACAATGTCCTTTGAACAGACGAGACCAAAGTGGAGATGTTTGGCCATAATGCACAGTGCCACGTTTGATGAAAACCTAAAGAGCACATCAGCACAAACACCTCATACCAAAAGTCACACATGCTGGTGGAGGGCTGATGATTTTGGGTTTGTCTTGTAGCCACAGGAACTGGGCACCTCACAGTCATTGAGTCGACCATGAACTCCTCTGTATACCAAAGTATTCTAGAGTCAAATGTGAGGCCATCCATCCGACAGCTAAAGCTTGGCCACAACTGGGTCATGCAACAGGACAATGATCCCAAGCACACCAGCAAATCTACAACAGAACGACTGAAAAAGAAAAGAATCAAGTTGTTTCAACAGCCCAATCAAAGTCCAGACTTCATCCTGACTGAAATGCTGTGGCGAGAGCTGTGCATAAACAAATGCCCACAAACCTCAATAAACTGGAGCAACGTTGTAAAGCAGAGTAGGCCAAAATTCCTCCAGAATGATGTGAGAGACTGATAAAAGTCATACAGAAAATGATTAGTTCAAGTTATTGCTGCTAAAAGTGGATCTACAAGCAAGAATCATAGGGTGTCCTTAGTTTGTCACACATGGCTTTTCCATATTGGCTTTATTTTTCCTAAATAAATAATGACACTGTGTGATATGTCATGTGTTGTTGTTCATCTGAGGTTTTATTTTCCAAACTGTAAGACCTGCCAAGGACCAGAATATTTTTATTCTGTCCTGGAAAACCATGGAATTCCATAGGGTGTCCTTTCTTTTTCACATGACTGTATATTGGGGACTCAGGAACCCTAAACATAACTACACAGGACACAGGAGTGGAGAGCATAGTTTGACTGAATGAATCAGAAAAGAGGTTTGTGAGGACATGTACAGTGGGGAGATAATTTGTGCGAGTGGCACTATGAGCCGGCAAACACACACACACACACACACTCTTAGTGTGGTGCTAGCTCCCCTCCTGAGGCAATCATTACAGGGATTTGTTCTGCTTGCACGTATAGTTTTAGCAGATCAATCGGAGAAGCATGCGCTAAAACCCATTATTAGTTCTGAGGGCAACATCTTAGTTTCGGGTGGAGATGGGGGTGGATTGTCCACACTGCTGCCTGTTTGAAACATGGCTCCTTAAGAGAGCCATGACTGTGAACAACATTCCCCGGAGATGAATGAGAAAATCAATTAAGAGGTGAGAAGCGTTTAGTGCTATCAGTACATGCAAAAACAAATTCATTTAGTGTAATGGAGGCGCCTGCCCTCAGAGATCTCACTGTGACTGTGAAATAACTGGCATTCGTTTCATAACATCATAACATTCATATGAAAAACATCTATCATACAATGACAGAATCATAACAGACATCTGACATGAGTCTTCATGCAAATCTAAAATTAACTTAAAGGCTCCACTTCAGAACCTAATGAACTGCCTACAGAGGAAGCCTACATATGTGTGTTTCCCATGCAAGACAACTTGTAGGAATTTTTTCGGGTTCAGTATAAGTTAAGCTGAATCGTCAAAATTTGTGGCATAACGTTAGGGTTGCCAACCATCCCGTATTAGCCGGGACGTCCCGTATTTTGGGCCTAATTGATTTTTCCCGTACGTGACTTCCCTTGTCCCGTTTTTTGACTGCTACGCTGATCTAACCACTGACTGATACAACAGCAGCAGTGCTGATCACTTGAGAATGATCACGATACCTGTCATCATCCAATCACAGCACCCCTCACGCAGTTATACGTTAAGTAAATCAGAAATCGTGAACATAACTGTTCGAGGAAGGCCGCGCAATCCTCTGCCGGCTCATCGCTCCCGCCTCACAGCAAGCGGCGCTCGCACTAACGCCAATTCCGTCCGTGTTTTCACTTCAGTAAATCAGTTTTGGTGAATACAAACTATGTGATTATTTTTCATGAGTCCAACATCCCGCTGCACAAGAGACGTGATCATTAAGGGAAGTCATCTTTCACTATTGTAATGTTGTTAAATAGGGAAAAACATTTTATATTTAAGTAACTAATAGCATAATTCTTAACCTTGGACCTTATTCTTGAAACACAAATGACCAATAAAAAGGTGTCAAGCACCAAAAGCAGCCCATATTAAATCTATAAGCTGTCTTTAATTGAAAAACACGCATTTTCATGCATACTATGTGTGTGTGTGTGTATACACAGTCACTCACCCCCCAATCCCCCCCCTCTGTTTGCTAAAATACTCACTGCTTCAACAGTAGCCTATAGCCACAAGATGTAAACAATATGTGTTCACCTCATTTTAGTTTTCACATCACCTTTTCTGTGTAATTGTCCAATTTTACAACTCTGTTAACATGACAACGTAACGGCTACAACAACTGTAAAATAATTTAAACAGCTCAAATAATACACAAGCTTCAACAGAAGAATTAATATTAGGGCTATTCACATTTCTATTGAGAAATCCTTCAAAAAAATTGGCCCCATTCACTTGCATTGTATCACTGTACCTTTTTTTCTCTCCTTTTTTTAACCCAGAAAATTTTTTTTTCCATAATGGGAAGTGGGGTCGGTTGTATTAGTTGTACATAAGTTACAATTTAACCTAGTTGTGACACAATAGGTTACTAAATATTTGTGGTTTGCACTTCAATGAAACATAACTCTACATATAAACTAACTATTTACGGAAGCCTCTGACCAGTGGTTGGAATAGGAAAAGGGGAATAGCAAACAGAGGAAAAGGGCTGTGGCGTTTCCTTTTCGCCAAAAACTTCAACACCCATAATGCACTTTTGATTTTGGCACCACCCCTCTGTTGACTGTCCATGGGCAGAGATACAAGAATGTGAAAATTTGATCTGTAGTTAAAAAGCCCTGAACCTGTCAAAACCCAGATGGATGGCCCAAAATTATTTGCACCATCCGGCAGACTTTTGCTGACAAAAATACAGGGATATCTGCGTGCAGGTAACATGGAAAAAGAGTACAAAGCTGGTTGAAAATCAGCAAACCTATCCTTTAAATACAGAGTTAGTTATAAACTAGCTAGTAGTTACTAAGCCACAAGTGTGGACTTCACATTCAAATTTAAGACTTTACGAATGGCTAATGCAACAGTAGGTGGTTGGACAGTACGGGTTAAAACTGAGACAGATTAATGATGTCAGGCAAAAGGTTTACATAATGCACACAGATCATTCAATAAGAAAAAAAATGTTCATTAAGAAAGTAAATGGAGTAAATTTTGATGTCAAATGGGCATTAAAGACATTTCCACTTAACATTCCTCTTTACGTATGGTAAATTTCATGCATTTCCACCTCTCAAGATCTGAAGAAGGCTGCACAGTGTGTCAGATGAAGCCTGCCCTGGGAACCTTCATGTCAGCCAATTGGACACTGCTTCCTTTGAGTGAAGTGGAAGGGGCAATTGGGTGGCGATCTGCAAGTATGTGATTATGTAACTAAATGCATCTGTTCTGCTGTTTTTTGATCTATTGGGCTAATTGAGCAAAAGAGAGTCTGTTTCATAAAGGGAAAAGCAATGAGATAGGAACTTGGCCGTACATCAGAGAAATGACATTGTGTCCTGCCGCTGGCCTCTCTGACACTCAGGTCAGCTTATGTAAGTTACCCCCCCCCCCCCCCCCCGGGGGGAAAAAA